TCTGAATGTGGGGAAGCTGAGACCACAGGCAGAGAGAGATGCTCCTTAGAGGACAGATTGCCAGGGAGTTGACTAGAGCAGGAGAGGGCAGGGAGATGACTGAGGAGTATGGAGGAGATCGATAGAATATAAGGAGAAAGAGGAGGAGATAGCGTTCAAGCGGTTCTTTGCAACAGAATAGGTAGGATTTAGAGCTAATAAGTTTGTGTATGTAAAATATATGGGTCAATATTTCAACTCTACACGGAGCCTATTTCATCTTCACAATTTTTCTTCCGTTGGCTGCTGCACTTCACAACACCCCCAGCTTTCAAGCTTACTTACCCCATTCTGCTTTGGAATTGTATTATTTGTTGTGTCTCCCCAGACCTTTGAAGTCCTTGCCCCTCTACCAGTGTGCCCGAGGGAAGCTCTCCCACTTTGGGGTGAAGGTAGCTATCATGAAGCCCCATTACTTTGAGACCAATGAGCAACCCTGAAATGTTTTCTTAGGGCATGGGATTGGGCCAGCCCAAAGGTCAGGAGATTATGGAGAGAAACACCTGGCACCTAGTGAGCTGTGGACCATGGGAAGAGGAGCAAACCATTTTCTGGAACCTGATTTTATCATTAAAGCCTCCTACAGTCTCAGGTTCATCCTCCTGGCTGACTCTCCCACCCAGTGGGAACATTTAACTTTATACCCATGATTCAGCGAGGTCAACTAGTAACTTAAAGAGAGGGTTTAGGTATGTCAGAGCTGGGGACCATGTGTCATGTGAAGCCTCATTATGTTGAGGAGCAATCTGAAGCCAGAGAGGGAGTTCTTTGAAACTCTCTTCCCAAATTAGAGCCATGAATTGGAGAGAAGGGGTGGAGAAGTATGTAAGGATCCTGTCTCATTTTGAACAGACAGCAAAGTAAATAAAAATATTTTGAAAAGATGTAAGTTGAATTTATCATTGGTGAGAACTGCATGAAGTGCCCCTGATACTCACCTGGCTGGGAGGCCAAGCTCACCTACGTCTCCATCAATTACGTGCTTTACTTCCCGGTGGGTGCTATGGTCTACTGGAGCTCCCTAAATCCTGCCAATGCCCTGTGAAACCAAGACTGGGGTACGTGGAGGATCTAGTTGGGGTGCTATGTGAGGGTTGATGTGAGGGGAGGAAAGTAGGGTGGAGGGAGGGAGTGCTCCAGTCTCTAGGATCATGTAGCTTACCCTCCACCTGACCTCTGCCCAGGCTTCTCCTAGGACACTGAGGATATTAGAAGGCAAGAACCATGTTTTGAGGTCGAGGAACAGGGATCCAAAAGCACACAATCCTTGCCCTGTTCCTTAAGCAGCTTCTCAAGGTTCTGAGCCTCATGGCCCTGAATTTACACTTTTGGGAAGGAATGAACACTGGAACGGGGCTCAGCCCCATCTTCTCTGCCTCTGTTTACCTCCTCAGAGTGTGTCTTGGCCATGGCCATTCTCCCCCTCCCACAGGATGGAAATGGCCCAGAGATGGTGAAGGCCCCTCGCCACTGAAGATACCTGTAGACAGAGGTAGAGGTGTGGAGGGCAACCACCAGGCTGACCCATCAGCCGCAGGTACCAACTTAGCAGGGAGTCCTGTTACCTGAGAGTGGGTGGCATTCCCAACTCTAGGAAAAGGGCCTTCTGAGTGGTCCTGCAGCACTCCAAGCCTCCATCCATGACCTGGATTTTGTGATGTTAGGAGTTTGAGCCCAGGCGAGCACTGTCTTAGCCAGCAGTCAACAGGGAGACCCATGAAGTGGTGAGCCAGGCCCAGGCCTGTGTTGGGGCAGTCTCAAGTCATCCTTTTCAAGATTCGAGGCAACCCCTGGGTCTCACCTGTCTTCTCTAGAACTGGGTTACTCCTGATCCTGCTCAGCCCTCCAGCGACATTATCTGACATCTCCCAACCAAGACTTCCCTGTTCACTCATCCAGGAAGCAGAGTTGGGAAATGCCTCCTAGATCCAGTGTAGGAGGTGTTATGCCTTGGAGTGATTATGAAGGAGGTGAGGTTTGCTTCTATCACTTCCCATACAGGCTTTGGGTTTGTGCCCCAAAGGTGGGTCCATGAGCTGACCCCACCACCACCCGTGGTATAGAGTAGCCACGCTCACTGGCCTTTTCCATCTGATTCTGGAGCTGACCAACCTTGGTAGATCATGGAGCACAGAGATGCATCCTTGACCCTTCACTCTAGGGATCTTTGTGTCTGACCTTCTAGACAGGGAAGGTATGGGTAGTTGGCCCTGTGTCCCTGGGAATGAGCTGGTAACCCTAGAGGTTTAGCCAAAGAACCACTGTAGACTCTAGCTGGCATCATTCTGTCCCTGCATATTGTGAAGTCCTGGGTGTGACCCCTCACTACTCACACCTCTGACTCATATCCTTACTTCCTTATCTTTACCAGCTTCCTTCCGACCTTTCTGTGAGTTCTTTGCCCCATTGCTTAGAATCTTTCCCTCCCTTCCAAGTCCTGATCCTAAGAATTTTCTAAGCATCTGGCCCCAGTCCTCTGCTTTTCCCAGATGTCATTTCCTCTTAGAGCAACGGTTCTCAATGGTTCTCAACCTGGGGGTTGAACGACCCTTTCACAGGGGTCGCCTAAGACCATCGGAAAACACATATATAATTACATATTGTTTTTGTGATTAATCACTATGCTTTAATTATGTTCAATTTGTAACAATGAAATTGGGGGTCACCACAACATGAGGAACTGTATTAAAGGGTCGTGGCATTAGGAAGGTTGAGAACCATTGTCTTAGAGTCAAGGACTCAGCCCCAGGGCCTTTCTGCAGCTGCCCAGGGAACCCACGACCCATCCTCATCATATGGCTAGACCTCATCTCATTGATATTCCTATCAGAACTCTCTCTTCTCTGGCCTTCCTTCCCTATGCCCAACTTGTCCCCCCCTCCTTATTACTCTTGCCACCTATGATTCTACCTGTTATCAGCCCCATACCTTAAAATTACTTTGACTCCTGGCCTCCCTTCTCTCTGCACATCCAACTAGCCACTGTGCCAATTGACTTCATAATCCCTTCCTTCTACCATTACCACCCCACCTGCCAGGCTCCCCAGGTCACCAATTCACCTTGCATGTGTGTCTGGTCCTGGGGGGTAGAAGAAAAATGCCCAGAAAAATGCCCAGTGGGTCCCTAGCTGGTTTAGCTTAGTGGATAAAGCATCGGCCTGCATACTGAAGGGTCCCGGGGTTTGATTCCAGTCAAACACACGTACCTTAGTTGCAGGCTTGATCCCCAGCCCTGGTTAGGGAGCGTGCGGGAGGCAATCAATTGATGTGTCCCTCTCACATCTGTGTTTTCTCTCTGTCTCTCCCCCTCCCTTCCACTCTCTCTAAAAGTCAATAGAAAAATATCCTCGGGTGAGGATTAACAACAAAATATCCGGTGAGGGCCCTGTGTCCTCAGTGCTTGATTCCCTCCATTTGACTGGTCACTGGGTGATGTTTAGAGCTGGGCCTGCTTGGAGTGCAGTGAGGGTCCTCATTGGCGACCTGAGTACCACCTCCCAAGAACCCAGGGCCTGAGGCCCCCGACCTTTCTGCTTTCTGGGAGTTGGGGCTTCCCATCACCAGCCTCCTTTACAGGAGGGGCTTGCTGCCTCTGGTTCAGAAGACATATCTATCCTGAGAGAAACTTTTTTTCATCATCTCTCATAATGGAGACTCACCTAAGGGCAGAGAATTCCAAAGAGCTAATAACCTGGAATTAATTTCTCTTGGGGTTTGGGAGGCACAAAACCAATTTTGTTTGTTTTACATTAATGAATTTGCCTTAATTTTTTCCTCTAAAAATTAAAATTAACTTTATTCACATGCCTATACGTCTAACAAATGATTTGATCCCTAGACCAGAAGTGGGGGATTCCCAAGGGGGCTTTCTGGGCCGAGTCCTCCTTTCTCATTTATCCTGCTCAGACCACTCAGGTGAGCCACCTCTCAGCATCAACATCAACACCAAGGTCTCCCATCCTTGGCACCTTCACCCATCAGGGCTGGGGGAGAGAGAAGGGCAGCCACCAGGGCTCTCTGACGTGACAAGGCTTCAGGTTAGACTTGAATTTCTTGCATCCAGGCTAATTGGTGTGGTGATGCATCCATCCACCTATAAAAATTATAGAGTGGCTCCCTCAGAGGCCCTGTGTGTGTTGCCAGGCGTGGAAGGGAGGAGAGCTCTTCTCCACAGACTGCCAGCTCGGGGTCAGAGGAGCAGCCTCTCTTGCTGTCTCCTGAGCCGGATCCTTCTTGGCCATCACCTCCTACCCGCCCTATGGCGGCTCTCACGGACCTCTCCTTTATGTACCGCTGGTTCAAGAACTGCAATCTTGTCCGCAACCTCTCAGACAAGTATGTCTTCATCACAGGCTGTGACTCCGGCTTCGGGTACCAACTGGCCAAACAGCTGGTTGACCGAGGCATGCGGGTGCTGGCTGCTTGTCTCACTGAGGAGGGGGCCCGGAAGCTTCAACAAGACACCTCCTATCGGCTGCAGACCATCCTCTTGGATGTCACCAAGAGTGAGAGCGTTCAGGCGGCGGCCCACTGGGTGAGGGACCAAGTGGGCGAGCAAGGTGGGGCGAATTGCATTCTTTAGCTTTCTCAGTTGATCCTTTGTCTCTCTTTCTCCTACAGGCATCTGACAGTTATCAGGGAACCTGTTGTGCAGATGGGGTGGGAGAGGTGATGTAGAGAAAGGGGCTGAGGCTCTGGCCGAGTGGGACTGGACGCTGTTGCATGGTCTGGTCTGTCCGCACAAAGGGCCGAGTTCCCAAGGAAGTTTCTCTCCCAGATACTCCGAGGGCTGGAGGGAGGTTGTCGTAGGAGGTAGGGAAGAGAAGGTGTGTTCTGTACGTCCAGACCTCTAAAGATGGAGTTGCTTCTCTGGGACTTTGGCAGTCCTGACCATCAGCTCTTGTCGGGATCAGGCTGGGGGACGGCAGACGGGAATGTGAGGTCAGATTCCCTGAGTGGAGGCATTTGCTCTCCTGGACTGTGTCAGGCTAGATCCTCACATCATGGTGGAATTGGGATGAACTCAGAGTAAGTGCTGACCTCAGAGTGGCTCCTCCTATTGGGAAAGGAGGCTGTGGGCTGGGGCTGGGGCTGCACCAGGATTGCTAGGGACCTGCCCAGGGCGCTTCCTGCATGAAGGGTGTGACAGAAGGAACAGAAGGAACAGGTTGGCTCTGTTGTAGAAGCAGCAGCCTAGGGGTGTAGTTCTGACCCCTAAGGGAACTAGTCTGGGGTCCATGCACGCAGGTGGGGGCAGGAGAGCCCTGGGACTCAGGAGAAGCCAGGCAATAACTTTCTTTTCTTCTCTTTAGGACTTACCAGTACCCATTATCCAATACTGTTTGTTTGTTTGTTTGTTTGTTTGTTTGTTTGTTTATTTTATTGTCTGTTTCCCCTGCTAAGATAAAGCTTCAGAGGGAGGGAGGGGCATGGCTTTTTGTCTCTTTTATTTACTATATATCCCTAGTACTTAGAATAGTGTCTGGAATCTAGTAAGTTGCCAAATATTTGTTGGATGAACTAAGTAATAAATTTTTCAACTGGCTGCCTCGCCCTTGGCCACTTGTGTTAATGACTGGGTATATTAATTTCCTGTTGCTGCTGTAATAAATTAGCACAAATGTAGTGGCTTAAAACAGCAGAAATTTATTATCTTGTAGTTCTGGAGATCAGAAGGCCAAAATGGGTCTCGCGGGGCTAACATCAAGGTGTCAGCAGGGCTGTGATCCTTCAGGAGGCTCGGGGAGAATCCATTTCATTGCCTTTTCCTGCCTCTAGAGCAGTGGTTCTCAATCTTCCTAATGCCACCACCCTTTAATACAGTTCCTCACGTTGTGGTGACCCCCAACCATAAAATTATTTTCAATGCTACTTCATAACTGTAATTTTGCTACTTTTGTGAATCGTAATGTAAATATCTGATATGCAGGATGTATTTTCATTGTTACAAATTGAACATAATTAAAGCATAGTGATTAATCACAAAAACAATATGTAATTATATATGTGTTTTCCGATGGTCTTAGGCGACCCCTGTGAAAGGGTCGTTCGACCCCCAAAGGGGTCGAGACCCACAGGTTGAGAACCGCTGCTCTAGAGGCTGCCTGCGTTCCTTGGCTCCTGACGCTCTTCTATCTTCAAGGCCAGTGAGGTCAGGCCGGTCCTTTCCACGCTGCCATGTCTCTGGTTCTCTGTCTTCTGCCTCCCTCTTCCACTTAGAAGGGCCGTGTGATTATATTGGGCTCACCTGGCTAATTCAGGGTACTCTTCCCATTGTAAGGTCAGTAGATTAGCAATTTGAATTTCATCTGCTGCCTTAATCCTCTTTCCCATGTAATCCACCATATTCATAGGTTCCAGGGATTACTATGGGCACATCTTTGGGGGGCAACATCCTTGGTCTAAGGAGCATTGGGAAATGGGGGAGGGGGTTCTGGCATACTTTCTTATTTTCCCGGAGAGTCTGTGGACATGACAGGTTGACCCTGAAGCTATTTTCACTGCTGTGACAATTCTCTGGTTGCTCTTTGCAGAAAAAAAATTAAGATTGTCCTGACTTCCCAGCAGGCTGAGTTGTTTACCAGGGATGATTAGAGGTAGTGGTGAGTGTGGATTTTTTCTCCACAGGCAGAGACCACTTGGTTCCCTGGGTCTCAGGAGCCTCATCTCCTCCTCTGTAAAACAAGAGTCCCCTTTGAGAAGGTCCCAAGTCTGGCTCATTGGTCTCCTGGGGTCTCTCTAGTTAGAGGAAGGCAGGAAGTTAGGGTGAGGGCATGGCTTTTGTATGGAGCCCAGACCCAGGGGAAGGGGTGGCCCGTGAGTGGTGTTTACAGTCAGACCTGCCCTCAGGAAAGAGTGGAAAGTGTGCCCTGAGGAGTACTTGTGGCTGCAGAGGCCCAGGTGGAGTGGTGGTAGGGAGGAGGGGAAGGGAAGGAGCCAGGGCAGTGGGTGGGGCTATGGAATCCCTGATGAAAGACCTGGAAGTCCTCCTTAGGGAACATTTAGAGGTTTTTCCAACATGTTTTTAGCACCAAACACCCTCCTCCAAGTAGAATTTTACTTGGAAGTTCAATATGTAAAACAAATGAAAGTTGAGCTTCTCCTATATCTCCTTCCTTTAAACAGTGGTTCTCAACCTTCTGGCCCTTTAAATACAGTTCCTCATGTTGTGACCCAACCATAAAATTATTTTCGTTGCTACTTCATAACTGTAATGCTGCTACTGTTATGAATCGTAATGTAAATATCTGATATGCAGGATGGTCTCAGGCGACCCCTGTGAAAGGGTCGTTCAATCGCCAAAGGGGTCGCGACCCACAGGTTGAAAACCACTGCCTTAGTAGGTCCTGAGGTTCAGCCTGGGAAGCTCCAGGATTGCAAACCACAGGATGGAAACAACTATTCTAGCCCAGTCAACACAGAATCTGAGGCCCAGAGAGAGAAAGTGACTTGTCCAAGGGTGGAGGTAGAAGCAGGATTTGAACTTGAGCTCTTCCAGCCTGGGTCCCTGCAGAGATGAATGACAGTACTTAGCATTATTTCTCCCCATTTGTACCAACTCAATTTAATGACCTCAGAGAGCCCTTTTCACACTTTTTCCATTTATTTAAATGCTTCATATATTTATTTATAGCTATTATTTATTTCTTCTCTGGTTTGTGAGCTCTTTGAGGGATAAGACCCTGTCTTGTTCACTTTGTCTTTAGCACCTTCCTCTGTAACTGACAGAATAGGTGCATGAATGAATAAATGAATGTGTGAGTGGATGAATGAATGAAGTAATTTTGGTAATGTGTGTAATGGAGTTGGTTTCTTATACTTAGGGAAACACAGAGGGGGAAGCATATGGGGGAAGGAATTAAAACATTTACTCATTGGTATGAAAATGATGTCTCTTTTCCCAGAGCTAATAGCTTAGATGCCATTAGCTAAAGCCTGGATTGTTAGCTGGTACAGGGTCCAACTAGCTGGCAGACTGTGTGAATCAGAAAAAAAATGTCCTCCCATGCCCTAACTGGTTTGGCTCAGTGGATAGAGCGTCAGCCTGCGGACTGAAGGGTTCCAGGTTCGATTCCAGTCAAGGGCATGGACCTTGGTTGCGGGCACATCCCCAGTAGGGAGTGTGCAGCAGGCAGCTGATCGATGTTTCTCTCTCATCGATGTTTCTAACTCTCTATCCCTCTCCCTTCCTCTCTGTAAAAAAATAAATAAAATATATTAAAAAAAGAAAGAAAGAAAGAAAATGCCCCTTTAGGGAAAACTAATTAGTAAAAGCACATCTTTTGGGCTGTCGTAACTCCCCACCCCAGGCCTCAGCCTGGCTATCTTGTTCTTTGCGCACCTGCTCAACCATCCTCAACTCCCTGAGCTGCTGAATGGTAGACCCTGGTACTTTTCCAGAGACACTGCTGATTTCTGTGTGGTTCTCTCTCTCCCTTTCTTGCCCCTAGGCCTCTGGGGCCCTGGTGAACAATGCTGGTGTGGGCGTGCCCAGTGGTCCCAATGAATGGCTGACCAAAGAGGACTTTGTGAAGGTGATCAATGTGAACCTGGTGGGACTAATTGACGTGACCCTCCACATGCTGCCCATGGTCAAGAAAGCCCGCGGCAGGGTCGTCAACATGTCCAGCTCTGGTGGTCGTGTAGCTGTCATTGGCGGTGGCTACTGTGTCTCCAAGTTTGGTGTCGAGGCCTTCTCTGACAGCATCAGGTGACTGGGTGCCACACCACTCTGGGTGGGAGTCCTGGGGTTTCACCTCAGGAAGAGAGGGCTGGGGGTGGGGAGAACAACAGCATGTGGGCAGGGGAGTTCTGAAGAGAGGAAAATAAAGCAGTAGTAGGAAGAAGGCTACCCTCAGGGGGCCTTCCCCAAGGACCAAGAGAATAAAGGATGAGGAGAAGAGATGGAGTGGTGATAGGCTACATTCTTCCTTCCCTTGAGCTGTTCCAGAATAAATGAAACCCTGTTTGGGCCTGTGAGAGTAGGAGGGTTTGTCTCTCAAACAGATAGAGAGGCCTGGGGACAGATATGCTCATGGGAGACCCTCACAGGAGGATGCAAGCTTTGCATTGACCTCTCATTCCCTTTGCATTGTGGGTGTTGGGTGTGGGGCTGAGTGGGAGGGACCAGGTGGGAGGTCAGGCTTTAGTCTAGATTCTTTGTTAACTTCCTCCTGCTGGGTTTGCCTAATGTGAATTGTCCAGAGACCACACTTGGAAAAGGGCTGAGGCCCTATGACAGGGCTTACTTGCATGAAAGCAAAGGCTGGCCTGGTGCAAGGGTAGGGAGGGCACCTCCAGTTTCCTGGGGAGATCAGCACCTATAGAGGTGTCAGAAGTGACGCTCTCTGATGACCTTGTGTCATCTTGGGGTCCCAGACTGAATCAAACTCTTCTTCCCCAGGCGTGAGCTCCACTACTTTGGGGTGAAAGTCAGCATCATTGAGCCAGGGAACTATCGGACATCTATTCTGGGCCAGCAAAGCATGGAGTCGCGCTTGCGGAAGATGTGGAATCGGATGCCTCAAGAGACCCGGGATAGCTACGGAGAGGAGTACTTCCAAATCTGTGAGTGTCCCTCGCAGGGAGAGGGGTCTCTGAGAGGGACAGGGAGATCTTGGGGGTCACTTTGATTTTACAGATGATGGGATGGAGGCTCAGAGGGGTTAAGGGCTGGGATTTGAGAACAGAGACCAAGTGGGCAACTGCTGGGAGTGACAGAATGATAGCTGTTGGGGAGATGGGGGCATGAGGAAGACTTCCATGAACAACCCCTGAAAGACAATTTATTATCGTGGCTAAGCTGTCCAAGGATGCTGCCCACTCCTGGCACCTGCCCCACCCAACCCCCAAACACCATTATGCTGGCGAATCAGCTGAAGATGCACTGACATAAGTACAGAGACGTTATTAAGAGCACAGCTGCTTGAGCCAGACTGCCTGGATCTGAATCCTGCCCCTACCCCTTACCAGCTAGGAGACTTTGGGCACAATACCTAGTCATGCTACGCCGCAGTTTTCTCATCTATAAAATGGGGCTAATGATAGGCCTACCTCACAGGGCTGCTCTGAGGATGAATATCTGTGAAATGTCCTGCACACACTAGATGCCTGTGAAATGAATACAGAGGAAAAGGAGCACCTGAGTATGTGAGGCAGCTCTCTTCCTCTCTGGGCTAAGGACCTCCTGTGAACCTCAGGGGAGCAGAGGAGGGTCATTACAGCTGTTTTCTATACTGCCCCCAAACTTTGTGCACTTCTTCCAGATTGAGGGGTGAATGGAGCTTCGGCCATGGGGGCTCAAGAGGAGGGGGTGGCCTGTGGGTGCAGTGGAGGAGGAATTGGCCAGAAGACCTGTTAGGGCACCTCATGGTAGGAGAGAGAAGGCCATTCTGAGAACCAGAAGTCCCAATGTTCTCTCAGGTCATCTAATCTCAAAGCTGAGGCTTGATTGCAGGGGAGGATGATCCAGAAGACTTCCTAGTTCTCTCCATTTCTCTGGCTCCAAGCACCTCAGAGCCACCTCTGGAGTTGCCTTTGTGGGGGGCAGACTCTGACCTGTCAACAGAAATTTGTTCTGGCACAAGCAGCTGCCACCTCCTTGGCAGGCATCTCACTTCTCCAGTTGCTTCTCTGTGACCTGGCTGCCAGCCAAGAAGGTGGGGCTGGCGCTTGGCTGGTTCAGGATGTTCTCTTGGGCCCGAGTGAAGCAGCCAGGCTCTCGGCCCTGTTCCCACTCCCTTTGGACCTCAACAGTGTAGTTATGCCTTTCCCTAACCCAGATTTCCCCCTCTCTTTTCTTGGCTTCCATGAACAACCTCTGAAAGACTATGTACTATTGTGGCTAAGCTAAGACTCTGGAACTGGGCTGCCTGAGTGCAAATTTTAGCTCTTATGGATTTTGTCTTGGGCAAGTTACTCGGTTTTCTCATCTGTAATGAGTTATGAGAATTCAATGAGTTAATATACAGGGTGTCCCCCAAAATGTGCACACATACATTGAATAATTATAAAGGCAGTATTTATTAAAATACATTTCATTTTCAAAATTGAGCTATCAGCTGTTAAAGTGTGTATATACATGTGTATATATAAAATGTTTAGATTGCCTGATCCCCGGTAGGAACAATTTGATTTAAAAGTGGTTTTTCTCCTCCCTTAGGCTGAGTATAGCCTCCTCTCTCCATTACACTGATACCTACAAGCTATAAGTTTTGTATGGCAAAGAGAGAGTCTTAGATAGTAATTGTCCAAAATCCAAAGTGATGCATTTTTGAAATATACCCAGAAAGTCTCGATGGGTTCAATGTAATCACTCAATCAAATGCATGGCCGGTATCTAACTGCCCGGCATGGTCTCCTGAACAACATACATCAACAGAGTAAAAAGCCAAGTTGCCAAAACCACAACCACCATTTATTCCCTTATTACACATTCGATTGAGAGCCCACCCCATGCCAGGCACTGTGTGGAGCTGGGAGTGAGAGTAGATCAAGCTGCAGGGCTCTCTTCTGGCTCAGTGCAGGCAGAAGTTGCAATCTTCTGCGAGCCTTAAAAGAAATGGAGAAAGACAAACTTCCTCTGAAAACCACTTGTCAAAAAACTGCTACCATTCCTCTGGAGACAGTGTGGATTCAGAGTTTAGACGACTTTACACAACTGTCTAAACTTCAGTTTCTTCATTATAAAGTATAATCATTCCTCCCTCCGGATTGTCCGGAGAACTAAACCTTAGCCATCATTGCTGGCACTGAGGGAAGTTGGCCTGGGGGAAGTGTGACGGGGTTGTGGTGGGGGATGGGGCTGGGAGAGATTTAGAGTCAGATCGTAGGAGGTTTGGATGGCTCCACTAAGGAGAGTGACTCCTATCCTGAAGGCACTGGAGAGCCTTTCAAATGGCTCTGACCTGACCTGATCAGATTTGTGTGTGGGAAGGATGAGCTTGGAGACATGAGACCAGCTGGGAGGCTACTGCAGAAATCCAGTGAAGGAATGACAAAGGCATGAGTTACAAGTCTTGGTGCTTATGGGAACTGCGGGTGTGGGGGGTGGGGTAGTGTTTCAGGAGGCAGGTGCTGTGGCGACAGACTAAAGAAAGATTGAGGAGTGCTCATGCAGCACCATTGGGCAGAAAGTCCAGCAAGTTACGGCCAATCAGGCAGGCTCGTGGCCTGTGAACCCTGGACCAGGCTAGGTATCTTAGAGCGATGTTTAACTAAACCCAAAATAGAACTATATTGGAAAAGGCTAGTTAATAGCAACCTACTGTGGGAACGGTCCCAAAGAAGCAGCACACGCAATCACCAGGGCAGGAATGTGAACAGAGCACAGGGATTCTCGCCCTAACAAGCCCGGAGTTGAGCCACAGCCGACAAGCAACACCGTCACCTGCCAAGTTTCTTTCTTCATCTCAACCCTGCCAGGGAGGCCACCAAAAATTCCTCTTTGGGTCTCCTTTTTCCCCCCCGGGAAGGGACTAGATCAGAAGGCCAGGAACTGTCCCTGGCAAAAGAGAAGAGGACAGAAACTCAACTATTGGGTCCATAAGAGCCAAAGCCTGGTCTCTGATATTTAATTCTCACAATAACACAAATGTTTCCCAGTTGCCTGAATCCAAAGCCCATGCTCTCCTTTACAATCTAGGAGAGTGACAGGCTAAATGGGTACCTCTGTCCCGCTTCCCACTCTGTGTCTAACAGGGTGCCCACCACAAAATAGGACCTCGATACATATTTGAAATAATAATGGAAGAAGTTGCCTTACACTACTTCTGTGTCTCAGGTAACTTCTCCCACCCCACTGGCTGTGTGGGTCCTGCCCATCTTTCAGAGCCTAGTTCCAAAGCCGCCTTATCACATCAGCTTGCCTTGCCTTCATCAGCCCACACAGCCTTCTGTGTTAGCTGGAATGGATTCTCCCTGGCTCTCGGTTAGCGCCTGCAGCCCTGAGCACCTTGAATGAGTCCTCTGACATTCACCTCCCTGCCTGGGACCTTTTGGTAGTGGACTCTGCGTCAGGGCCAAGGTTGGAGGACAGAGTGTTGGCTTCCTAAGACATTATCACTTTACAGACAGCGTGGCTCTTTGGTAGTTTGCCCTTTTTCACTGCTGTAGCTTCCTTTCTAGGAAACAGAAAGGGAAGTTCCTCAAAGCAGGGGTAAGAATACTCAAATGACATTGTCCTGCTTTCATTAACCGCGTACCAGGGTTCTGCCCAGAGCGGGTGAATTCCTTGCCTTCCTGGACCAACTCCAAAGTCAGGCCTGCTTTTGCTCCCTCTTTGTTTTCAAGTTTTAATGCCTTATCTCTAAGTCTGACTCTCAGGCACCACTTCCTCCAGCGTGGGCGGCCATTGAAGTATGAGCGCTAGAGCACGAGGGAGATCACAGCGCGTAGGTGTATCTCGTGCCTTGTCTCCTATTTGTATAGTGAGCTCTGGCTGGGACCACTTGGGTGCCTTGGACTCATCTCCACACCCATGTGCATAATGCTAACAGAATAACCCCCACATCTGTTAGAGCTTATAAGGCGCCTGTCTGTGCCTGAGACCACCTGAGCCCCACAATGGCCTTATGACCAAGGCAAGGGCAGTGTTACTATTTTCTAATAACACTTTTTTTCCTGAATGCTTTTGTAGAAAATTCAGGAACACTAGGGAGTAAGTAGGAGAGAAAAATACTCCAGTAACTGGGAATCTCACTCGCCAGACAATATTTTTACTTCCTTCCTTCCAATTTTTCTATGCACTTACATACATTTGTTTTCTATTCTGTCATCTTCCACTGTCTACCCTGCTATTAGTCATATTCTCTAGCACAGGTATTATTATTCCCATTTCACAGATGATGACAGTTTAAGCTCAAGGTCACACAACTAATAAGCAGCCCAGTTTTTCTGTTGCTAGTCTAACACAATAATAGGAATTCAATACACTTTTTTTTCAATTACAGTTTACATTAAATATTATTTTATATTAGTTTCACATGTACAGTATAGTGGTTAGACAATCATATACTCTACAAAATGACACACCCCCCCCCCCCCGCGAAATTTTAAGGAAATACTTGGGACTGTACAGACTTATTACAATACTAGAGGCCCGGGGCACAAAAATTTGTGCACTCCGGGGGGAGGGGAGGTCCCTCAGCCCGGCCTGTGCCCTCTTGCAGTCTGGGACCCCTCGGGAGAAAAAGACCTGCTGGCTTAAGCCTGCTCCCGGGTGGGAGAGGGCAGGCCCAATCCCTAGGTGCAGCCCCTGGTCAGGCTCAGAGCAGGGCTGATTGGGGAGTTGGGGCGCCACCCCCTGTCATGCACAGAGCAGGGCGGATCGGGAGGGTGCGATGCCACCCCCAGTCACGCTCAGGGTAGGGCCGATTGGGGGGGTGGGGCACCGCCCCCTGTCACACTCAAGGCAGGGTCGATGGGGGAGGTTGCGCGCCACCCCCGTCACGCACAGAGCAGGGCTGATCAGGGGGTTGGGGCGCTGCCCCCTGTCACTCACAGAGCAGGGCCATCAGGGGGTGGGCTCGTACCCTGTCATGCACAGAGCAGGTCGATCAGGGG